CAGGTCTGCACACTCGCTTACACGCAGGCTGTGCCCGAGACCTCTGCCCTCGGCCCATGACCCAGGACCCACACCAGGCACTTCCCACCCGCCACCTGGCAGCGGGCTCTTTCATAGTTTCCCTAAGAGATTTATATTAAATGAACCTACACTCGCCCAACCAAAATGGCACCAAGTGACTGTTTTATAAGCAGAATATAGAAATTCATGGGGAAAACAGCCTCGGAATGTGGGGTGCTTGGAATGGTTGCTCCTCCCGCCCAGCGCTGTGGTTAATCACACATCTCGCGGCCAGCGCCTCTAATCTCCTCCACACCACAGTGTGCCTTTTATTTCCATTTGCGTTGAGTTTGTAAAATAAACACGCACGGTGTCTTCCTGGAAGATAATGGGTATCTCGGAAAGGACAAAGGCGACTCGGATGTAGCCGCTCTGTGCCGTGATGGGCAGGAGAGGAATTTCACGTACTGCTTTATCGCCGTTCTGGTGGTAAGGAGCGACTTAAATAGACCTCGCCTCAGAAGGCATAATTGCGTGCAGCCTTGTTCTGATGAACTTTTCCTCGCGTGGATGTGCGGTTCTGTATAATGAATACACAAACAGGCACCGGCGCACCAGCGGCTTTCTTTTTGATCTCTGAAAAGGCTATTCTTTCTCTGTTTTTAGGCCAATTCTTCAAGTTTAGTGATGGAGAAACAGCAATAACAATAACAACAGCAGCCCAGGAAAATAAAACAAAATCAAAAAGCCCTGAAATATTTAAATTTTCATTAGGAAAACAGCTGCAGCGACTTGATTGTGCAGCAGGTCACATCTCGGGGCTGCCAGGTCCTGAGTGCACGGCTTTGGGCTGCCACTTTTTCAAACCAGGATTCTCATTAACTTCAGTTTCTCCCCACGGCCTCCCGGGAGGCAGCTGGCAGTTGGGGTGGCACCTGCCCACCGCAGCGGGCTGTACCAGGGGATTCCAAACTTAATTTCTGCTGCTTTAAGGGCACTGCTGCCAGGAAGCCTGGTGTTTTTGACCCAAGCCAAGGCCGTCCTCCGAGGCTTTGCATTCACCTCTGCTGGGGACAGGGACCTTGGAACAAAGGTCAGTGTGTACGGCCAGGCCCGCTGCCACCAGACCCAAGAAAAGGGGAAATTAAAGCATTCATTTGCATCTTCTCCTATTCTCCGGTTCTGCGCAAATCTGCCTCTCCAGGGTCACAGCCGCTCTCTGCTCCCCAAGTCCCTCTGCTAATAAGGTCTGTCTGTCCCAGCCTTTAAGCCTCATGCCACAGCAGGTGACGTGCGGTCCTTGCTGAATGAATGCATGCACTGTTTTTGCTCACATAGTAATTTCAGTCTCCTAATAGGGTAGGGAGAGAATAGAGTAAAAGAAAAGACCTCCACAACTTCTATTGCTTTGGAAAAAATATTTTAATGGGAGTATATATTGATAGTAGGAAACGTTAATAAGTATAGGTAAGGATCAATGCAAAGTCACCACCATTAATGATTTACAGATAGCTTTTCTGGCATTTCTTGTTAAATCCACAAAGCGAAATTATGCCAGTTAATTTTCCCCCTCAGCTTACCTATCTGCCGTGGCTGTTTCCCCTGCTATGTGGAATTTTCTGCACCCTGTTTAAGAGCCGCATAAATTCCCCATGTTCCATGGCAGCTCATAAGACTGATTTTCACAACCAATTTCAGGACGAGAGCTTTGCTCCGTCTCTGCCTCCACTCAAGGGGAAAAGGCATTTCTGCACATGCTGCTCAGCGACACCAGCTCAATTCCTCTGGTTCTGTTCGGGGGGGGGGGGGGCTGGGCCCTGCACCAGTGCCTGAGCCTGAGCCAAATCCTCATTCAGGGAGGGAGTCCAGGGTTCGGTCACTTGTCCGTGGCTAACTGTGATGGCCACAAGCGTCCCAGTGGCTTGCTCAGGACATTTTTAATGCCTTTCTGTTTCTGTATATATGTGTCTATGCAAGTCTTTTGACACTGTCGCTTATGACCCATCTTCTTAGGACCGTGCTCCAGAACTCACCTTGTGAGTTCCAGGCTTGGCCATGCTCAGCCATTTGAGGATTGGGCAAGTGACAACTTCTAGGGAGGCTAAATGAAAGCTTCACACACGGACTTCAGTCGAGATGTGCGGTGACCACTGCAATGTCAAAGCCAGAGTTCAGTGTTCTCCCAGCTGTCCTCCTCTCGATGTTTAAGTCTGTTCTCATCACACAGGGGCTTTCCACTGAGCCCTAACCTCCAAAATACAAACCCTAGTGCCTTCACCACACAGAGATTTCTCAAGGAAGGCGCTGGCTGCAAAAGACCCTGTCTGTACTTGTATGATCAGTTGTGTGGCTGTATCTGAGATTATGTCTGCGCATTACTATTCAGGTCCCTTATCATTGACCCAAGCCAAGAGGGACCATGCTTGAGGGGCAGTAGACATTGATCTCTGGAGCAGTGGTCTCAGGACTGACCAAGCCCCTGTGTGCCTCTGACTGATTGCAGATCTTCCTGTCTCCTCCTGTGCTCCCTGAACCTTGGAGTGGACTCCTCTCTACACTCACCCACTGTTTTGACAATGTGGCTACCACCCAGCAGTGTGCTACATTAGTCCTGGTGCTGTGGACCCACTCTGCGAAGACCTTGTGACAGCCCAGCGCCATCTGTTTACTTCAATCCTGTGCAGCCCCCTGGGGAGAAATCCCACTGAATAGTTGGTCTTTGGCTTCACAGAGAGAAGGCCTGGAGTAGCCAGCAGAGACAAAGGTGCTCAGAACAGGGGTGAGTGCTCCAGCTAGGCTCCTGCACCTAGACAGGTGACCTGTCCGGCAGGAGGCAAGGCCATGAGAACGGACAGAGGAGAGTGTTATGAGCTTTCTAGAAAGCAGGTCTAACCCAGCACAGCCTGAGGTGCCCTGGGATGTATCTGTGGGCTCCTGCAGCGTCTTCATCAGGCCATTCTGGGTCTTCTCCCTGTAACAGTTGAAGGATTTCACATCTCCCTCCTCCCTTTCGGCAGTTTGAGTGGTCAGGGACTTCCGTAGTAGTATCTACTGCACTTAGAAGGTGAGCAAGAGCTTGGGGTCCACTGTCCACAGGCTCCCCCTTTACCTAGGCATCGGCTGCGCTGGTCCCTTATGCATGCTGTGCCTGCAGGGTTTCAGTCTCTATCCACAGCTGCTTATGCCTCTTCCGGTCTGCCAGGCCCTGCTTTAGGGGGAAAGATCCCTTTCCTGTTCTGCAACTGGGGAACGGGGGCGGTGATGCTTCGTACAACATCCTTGAGAGGCTGCTGGGACAAGCCGAGCGCAGCTCTGGCCCTGTTTTCTAGTCTGTCTGTACTCAGTGCAGTAGCTGCATCAGTGCCTCCGAGCAGGAGACCCTGGGCCTGGGACATGGCACCCGTGAGAGAAGATGTGACCTTGGCCTGTACAGGGCTGAGGCCCAAAGAGGCAGAGCAGGACCCCAAGGCAGCTGCTTCGCTCCATCAGTGAAAATACCAACAACTGACCCGGGAATGTTGCCGCCCCGGTGCCACGTTCTCGGTTGGCATGTGGAATACACATGGCAGTGTTGTGCTCACCCCTCTCAGGACAGGAAGCAGAGGGTGAAGACACCGGTCTGCTTCCCAAGGTTCTGCAGTGAGGGTGAGGCACAGTGCAGGTCTGGGAGGCCAAGGATTTCAAATGCACGGTGTTTCCACGCTGCCCATGTGCTGAGACCAGGAGACCCTCAGTCACAGACCACGTGTTAAGATGGTTCCCAAAGCCCCAGCCCGCAGGCCTTGAGCCCAGAGGGGAAGGGCGACCATTCCCACCCAGACGTCCTCTCATTTAAGGGTGTTCAGATAACTTAGGGAGAAGCTATTCGAAAATTAATTATCCAGATAATTGCCTAACACTTAACTCATTTCGTAGAATGTAAGCATTCTGACTGTCAATTGTCAGTCTGACACACACTCGGTCTGCGTCCTTCTGGAAGCAGCCTTGACCTCCTGGGGAGCCGAGCACCTCTTTTCTTTGCACTTGTGGGGTGGCTGATTGTTAATCACAGGAATTGGCCAGCACACTCTCAGGCTGTGTGGAGGAATCACGTGGCTGTCGAAACGCCGTTCTTGTGTCATACCAAAGTGGCCTCATGTCGTCTTTCCTGTCTGAGCCCACAAAGAGGCAGGCAGATTTACATGTTGAGTTCTAGGCATCTTTGGAATTTATCTCATGTGTTAGGAAATTATAGGTGATGATGCCTGATTCCGCTGGCCTGTAATGGAGCTCAGTCTCTCGTTTAAGGATTTCCTTACACTACTTGATGGAAAAGAAAAGCCAACCTTAAGTAGCTTTGTGTGTGTAGTTTGCTTTCTGAAAAGACTGCTAATCCTAGGGGGAATTTATGTAAAAGCATTCAGCCCCTGCAGAATAGTCAAGGTTTCCATATTTATCAAATGCAGTCTTCTTGTGTGAATAATGCATTCCAGGCCGGGCTCTGTAAATGGCCTCAGTTAATGAATTTCAGAGGTAGAGATGGTCGTTGAAGCATCTTATTTGGTAGGCTTGCCATTTAAGTTCTGTTATTTATTCTGTTTTCAAATGTTCACAATCGTAGAGATTTCTAACGTTTTGTACAGAAGTAACACAGGGAAAGCAAGACAAATGTCATCTGCTTATTTTCCCCACCATGCTTGGGCGATGTTCTTTAGACTTGCAGAGGCTTCGTGGTTCCCACAGTCTTTGCAGGTGAAACGGGAGGACAGCCCAGGTCGGTACTGCCCAGGGCAGCAGCAGGAAGGGAAATGAGTGACATTTATTCTGCGTCTTACCTTTCCCCGTCCTCCCTCCTCCCCACAGCCCGAAGGTCTAACTGATAATGACACACATGAGAAAAAGCAGAGCTGGCATTTAATCTTGCAACTTCTTAAAAGTTAGACTAGTGACGTGTCACCTCCCGAGTTAGCAGTAGAGAAAAAGGTTTTATTAAGAAGCAGATGAAGAAATGAAAGTCAGACTTCCTGGGAAGTAATTATATCAGTTTATAATAAGCCATGAGAAACTTGAAAGGAAGGGGGGGGGAGGCAGCCAAAGAGTATATTGAGGATATTAAATTAAGTAATTTTAATGTCACCATTTGATATCCAGGAACACGAACAATTTGTAGTTCTCGAAACTGTCAAGTTGAAGCAGTCATCTTTCTGTCATGGGAACGGTGGCACTGGCAGGGCTCTGCATCTTGGGGTACGGGAAGGGGGAAGTCACACTACAGTTTGCAGGTGCGGTCCTGTGGGGGCCGAGCAGAGCGTCAGGGCACAGGTCGCTTCATGCAGGCTCTGCGCAAGGTCTCCCGGGCAGGTGACCACCTCTGTGAGCCACACCCGTGTCCAGCTGCTCATCTGAGGAGGGTGCTGAGGGTGCCCCATCCCAGCCGCGGGAGCCCGGGTCTAGTGTGTGGAGGACGTGTCACTGAGGACAGATTCGCTTTTCTCCGCCGAACAGCTTGATACTTGGCATGTGTCCTCTCATGGAACGCTACAATGTGAGCAGGGAGACGGAGGGCTGCCGTGGGGGTGACTGGGCTGCCTGATGGGGTTCTTCCAGCTGACATCATCTGAGCTCCCAGTGTGGTGTCAAGAAACCATGTGAACAGAGCACCCCACTTCTGAGCTCTGTACTTTCCCCTGGGCCCAAGGTGACCTTGGTGTTAAGAGCAGCGGGCACAGACGCCCTTCCTCAGGAGTGGATATGAAGGAGGCCTCAGCACAGTCAATAACGGCTACAACCCCAGGGGTGCAGTATGACAGGGACCCGCCATCCTAAGAATGGGCACCCCAGCCCGGTGGGGACAGGTGCCCAGGAAGACTCCACAGGGTCAGCTCGGGAGTATGGTGGACAGGCAGCAGCGGAGTGGAGGGGCAGTCCAGGGTCAGAGGCCTGGGGCGGGCTTGGGAAGCTGGGCGAGGCTCTTGGTGGCCGCCCTCGACCATGATGTCTAAAACCAGATCGCACTCTGGAATAATTTCTGAACTTTCAGACCAGCCAGCGGGCCCCGTGAAACACCCTGGCAGGAGAGGAGAGGGCTCTTCGTGCCGTTCCAGATGCCCCGGCTTTCCTAGGTTGTGTCCAAAGGATGCCGATGGCACCCCAGACACTGCGGTAATCATAGTGTTCCCCAGCACTTCCAAAACTGTCCCCTGTGGTCATGCCACTCCCATGAGAGGAATGTGTGACTGTGAAATCCTCGAGGAGCCCATGTGTAGTCTGTGCATCCCACCTGCACTGCGGGCCCTGTGGTAGGCCCTGGCCGAACATCCGTGCATAGATGATGGAAGGGTGGATGGGAGGAGAGTAGATGATTGGGTGGATGGGCAGGAGGGAGAGAGGGAGCAAGGATGACTCTTAAATATCACTGTTCCAACAAAACCCTCAGGAGCCCGCTGCCCAGGTTATGTGCTGAGTTCGCCATCTCTACCCTTTAGGCATGGCTGAGTCTCTCTACTCCTAAGTAGACTGTGTTAGTAACATGGTAGGTGACGTCATAGCTTACCTGTTATAAGAACATTAACTTACTTAAGAATTGATGATTTTACTCTAGGTTGGCATTTCCCAGCCAGGGTTGATTTTTGCCCCCTGGGGGCATTTGGCATGTCCTAGGAACACTTCTAACTGTCACAGTTTGAGGGACAATGCTATTGGCCTCTGGTGGCTGGAACCCGGGGCTACTGCTCAGTATCATCTGATGCACAGCCTGGGCGGGCCCTACATCACAGAATGGCCTCCTCCCATGGCCAGAACTGCTGGGGCTGAGAAAGATGATGAGCTATATTATTTTTTAAAAGCCTCTGTGATGTAAATAAGTGATCCTTGGACTGCTGAAGATGGCCATGGGCAAAATGGACCCTAAAGGAAACTCCAGAAGATCCACGCTGTGAGGATGTTTCCTCCCTTGTCTTTGGAGCAGCAAGTGTGGCTGGAGGTGTCATTACTGTGATTCTATACACTTAGGTGAAGACACCATTGTTGTAGAAATGCAGTGACTGCTCCTGGGAACAATAGGAAGACTTGCTGGGGGTGAGCAAGTTAACACACAGAGGATGAGAAGTCCGGGTGCACAGAGGGGCTGTGAATGGAAGCTTGCTACACAATGAAACACAGGTGCTTTAATTTGTCAGAAAATTACTGACTGGTTAGAGGTGCTTTGTACCAGAGTTCATTTGGCGTGCGAATTTTCCTTCAAAGAGAGCAAACCTGTGTTTATAGCATCCACCCAAAGCAGAGCAGACAATGAGGACCTACGTGGAGTTTGTGGACCAGCCTCGGGTTGCCATGACCACACAGGCCCTTCTGGAGGGAGGATTGTCACTGCCATCTGCTGCGTGGTTATTATAGCCTGCTCCTCTGCTCACCTGTGCGGGCACAGCATCACCAGCCAGCTCCTCTGCACAGCGGAGCAAATGTGGAGCAAGTGTGGCTCATTTCATGCTCCTTCAAGTAACTGTGCAGGGCGAACTCGGGCAGAGAAAGCCGAGACTGAGCAGGACGTAGAGCCACCTTGGGAACCTCAGCGCACGGAGCAGCCAGAATTTAGTGATGGCTGTGATGTCAGAGTGACAGTGGCAGTGAGGGTGGGGACCATGAGGGTGGAATGGCAGTAACGGTGATGGGGCAGTGTTGGCAACAGCAGATTTGTGTAACCGGATGGTGGTGGTGGAATGATGGTACCACGGCCACAGCAGTAACAGTGATGATGGTGATCATAGTGGTGATGCTAATGATGGTGGTAGGGGTAGTATGGTGATGGTGATGATGATAGTGATGGTGGTGATGGTGATGGTGGTGATCAAGGTGGTGATGGGAGGTGATGATGGTGGGGGTAATGGTGATGGTGATGGTAGTGATCATAGTGGTGATGATGGTGGTGATTGTGATGGTGATGGTTGTGATAGTGGTGGTGGGGATGGTGATCATGGTGATGGTGACAAAGTTAGTGATGGGATAGCTATGGTGATGGTGGTGATGGTGGTAATAGTTTGGCCATGCTGGAGCAGTGAGGGTGATAATGGTGGCAGTGATGATGAGGGTGGTTGTCATGAGAGGGTAGAGGTGGCAGCCCTGCGGGTAACTTTACAAGGGTTAGTGGAGCTACTGGTCCCACCAAAGCCTTCAGTCACTCTCTGACCCACACCGGACAGTGCACCCTACGTCAGAGTCCCCGCTGTGTCTATCTCTTTTCCTCCTGGAGCCCAGCGAATCTGACCAGCCTCTGTGTTCTTGCACAGTCTGTGTCTGTGGCAACTCCCCACTCAGACCTCCCTCTGGCAATCTCCTTTTGGTCAGTGGGTCTGCAGCTCACACTGCTCCCTGGAGAGTCCCCTGTGGTTTCATCCCAGTCTCTGTCTTCATGCGCTGATGCTGCCTGGAGGGCTTAACTTCTCTCCAGCTTGTTTGGCCGTCACCTTCTCTGGAAGGCATCCTGTGAGATCAGCAGCTGCACTGGACATCACTGAATCCCAGGCTCCAGTTTGCAGTAGTCAGACATGAAGTCAGCAGGGAGAATCCGTGACCCAAGATTCTTGCATACTTGTGGGATCGGGCCAGTGTTTGGGTGACTGTTATGTCCCAGCCAGGAACAGACAAGATAGAGAGTCCTAGAACCCAGAACCCACATGAAGCATCAGCTGTGGTCTTCACAAGCTACACACTGGAATCATCTGGGGGCTGGCAACCCTAGTACCAACCTTCTGTCACGTTCCCTGGAGGATGCCAGCATCAGCCAAGCCCAAGAACCAGTGCACAGGAGAGCATCCCCGGTAAGAACTGGGAAAATGGCCAGGGCAGTGGGGTCAGATGGTGGGACAGACATGGGAGGATGCCATGGACATTGGGTGAGGAGCAGCCTCCCGGGGACAAAGGGATGCCCATTTTCACCCGCTGGAGAACAAGCCAGTACTCCAAGTCCTCCTGTCTCCCTGAGGTTGACACCTCAGAAACCACAAAGAACCAAGGTCTTTGGGACAAAACTGGTTTTGCCCTTGCTGTGTGTAGCTTCAGAGATGGAGATATGGACTCAATAGAAACCATCTCCACCCCAGGATGGGAGAAAGGAGATAGAAGCTCAGTGATGTGCAGGTCACAGAACAGAAACTGTGTGGCAGCATGCCCAGGTGGCCGGGGGTCACTGGGGTCGTTGGTGAGACCCTCTGGTTCAATAAAAAGCAGCAACTGTTTCACCAGTGCTGCAAATGACACCTCTGTGCTTCCTGGCCCCTTTCTAGCTCATGCCTGCAGCAGCACCCCCAGTGCCTGCCAGGGTGGACCCCACCACCTAGAATTGCCTGGCCACGATATCCTGCTCTGATTCCACCACTGCTGTGTCTGGGCACTCTTGCCGTGAGACTTTGCAGAGGACCAGAGCCTGGCCGCGCTGCTAGACTCACTCACCTAAATGAGAACTCTGAAAGGTGACTGTGCCCCTCTGCCCTGTCTCCCAGCATTGCAGTTACTCTAAATTACTTCAGAGAGATTATTTTGGCAGTCTAGGAAGCAAAGCAGAAGGAAGCAAAACTCTTCAGTCTGGAGTTTGATGGACAGCAGCGAGGAAGACAGCCAGGTGTGCAGCCACCTCAGCTTTCCCCACAATTAAAAGAGGTCCCGGGAAAGCACAGCCATGGAGGCCCGCCTCCCCATTGTCAGCGGGGCAGGGTTAGTGAACCCACATTCCCTGAGCAGTAACATACTGAGGATCAGAGCCAACACCAGCAATGGGAAGGAGCCCTGCAGAAATCCTTGTGGGAAACAAAAAGTGACAGGCTTTCACGGAAGGACCAGGCTGCATCTGGGAGCAGGAGCCTTTCAAAAGCTGTGGACCGGGCAGAGGGCTGCGGACCCTGTCCGGCTGGGTGCATAAGCCTTCGAAGTATTGCGGGGCCTGGGCCAGGGAGGGAAGGTGGTGGGAGAGGCTTGGTTATTTCTTTCCAAACCGATACTCTCAGGCATCAGCGTCACCTCCTCCTGTGTTATTTCCGCATCTGTGTGGTTGTTCACTTAACCTGTGCACTGACCTGGAATCATCCCCGCCAGAGACTGGAGACGCCTGATGTTCGCCGGGGAATCTTACTGAGCAAGCTCAGGCTCGCTTCCATCCGAGAGCTGGTGACGAGAGGGATTATTCAGCACTTTGCTATCCAAAGCGCTGGAACGTGGTGTGAGCTCCCCAGGCCACAGGGTGAGCGGCAAACCTGTGCCTACGTCCATGAAAAATTAAGACACCCATTAAAAATTGAGTTGACCAAGGGATTGCCATTTTGAATACTCCCCACTTAGGTTCCAGCGTGGCTAGAGCCTGCACTCAAAATCAGCACGCGACAGTGAGTCTTTCTGACAGGAGAGCTGTCAAGGATGGGACTTAGCTGGGTTCAAGAGTAAATCCGAAATTAACCCAGGCCTGGGAGCCTGCAGTGTGGCAGCGCTGCCCAGGAAAGGCTCGCAAGGAAGGGGTTTGTACCTGCCTCTTGCAGTCTTTCTAAAATCTGGCTGTAGATTAGAATTTCCCGCCTGTGTTTCTTTCATTCCCCCACAGCCCTCCTGAAGGCTCGAGAGCTACCGATCCTCTTCCCTGGGGAAGCGGCTGTGGGTCTCCACAGACGCTGCTGTTCACACGCAAGCAATCCATAATCTGATTAAAATGCATTCTTACCCTTCTGGTAAATCACAGGGCCTCCCGTCTCTGAATTCTCTGCTTACATGTTCTGAAGCTCACAAAGCCACTCTGAAGTACATCCTCATGCCAATGTCCGCTGGGGAGCCTGCACCTGCTCCCTGCACACCACGTGCTCTTTCTGATTCTCCTGCCCCCTGCCCTAGCTTCCAGGCCTCCCCGTTGGGACAGTGGTTCCATCCTCTGTCCCCCTTTGGCTGCCTCTGGCTGACTTGTTCACAAACCCAGGCGGCGCAGATGCCTTCTGCCAGAAATACTCCCAGCGCTTGATGAGGCTCCAGATTGTCTGGTAGAGTACGTGGAGGGGGTGGGAGGAGGACATTCAGTATCCAGTCTCTGCAGGAGGCTCGAAGGAGAAAATCAGGAGAGACAGAATCCCCGGGGCTGGGCAGACAGCGCCCACCCACACAGAAGCCACAGGACCTTTTCCAGGGAGGTCAACTCCGAACACCAAAGGCCAAGTTCAGCCCAGGGGCAGCTGTGCACGTGTGCCTTGTGTGCCCCGGGCTTGCAGCCAGCCTCCCCACACACTGGGGATCCCTGGTCTGCCTCCCTGTGTGCTCCCATCAATCATCAGGAGCAAGGACGAGGGCATAAAGGTGCCTGAGGACTCGGGACACGGGTCACACCACAGAAACACCAAAGAAGAGCCGCGTGGGCCCAGTGAGGCCAGCTTGGAGGAGCCACGAGCATTGAGAGGATGCTCTGGGAAGCCAGAGGACTAGGGAGGGCTGGGACAAGAATCCAGAGCAAGCCCGGTTGAGCTTGGTCCTCTGAGCATGGAGGCCCCCACAGGGCAGTGAGGTGGGGAGGGTTTGATGATGCACCCGGTGACCACACCACGGCTCAGGGCCCTCGGCGAGCACTTCTGTTCCAGTGCCAGCCAGGCCCAGAGCTTCTGGTCAAGGCAGTTTAGGACTAGGGAGATTGGGGGTCTTCTTCTCATGTAACTATTGCCAAGCAAGGTCCAGAAGGGGCTGGGGCTTCGACCTGCCCAAGTAAGTTCTTGATGCCAGGAAAAGCATTTCAGGGTGCCTCGGTGAGAAGGTTGGGCTCATTAATTTAGGCAGTTAGGAAGCAAAGTAGGAGGGGCCCACGGCTTGAGGAGCTCTGATGACCGTCGGACTGGCCTTTAACAAAAGTGAGACCATACGGATTTATGGGGGTGAACGAGGGCCTGGGTTTGAGGTGACCATTTCTGTTTGGGACAATCGTCTTTAGAGGCTGGGCTGGGATCCAGGTGACTATCAGTTTAAGTCAGTGATGGCGAACGTTTTAGAACTTTCGATGACACCAGCAGCCCACTGTGGCACCGTGCCATAGGTTCCCCACCGCTGATGTCGGGAGTGACTGGGGACCGAGGTCCTCACTGGTAGCTGAATTTCCCTTATTTCTTCTATGTGGTGTCTTCATTCTCGAAGAAGAGTGAGTTAAGTCAGGTAAATTTGGGCCAACTTTAGGCAGACGGTCTGTAGGTGACTAACCTGCCTGTTTGCAGAGCTGAGTGAGGATCTGACACGAGGTTTTAAGATAAAGAAAACAGATACACAACGCTGGCCAGGCTCCGTTCTTCTAGTTACCATCGGCGTCTGTGAGCCCAAGTAGGAGTCACAGGGCATGGGGGTTTTGTTTGTTTTTGTTGTTTTATCAAAAACAGTTCGGAAGTCCCTACAAAACCATGGTGTTTTTTGTTTTTTGTTTTTTGTTTTTTTTGTTTTTTTTTTTGAGATTGGGTCTCGCTGCATATTTGAGGCTGATCTTGGACTCTTTATGGCCCGGGCTGGCCTCTGCAATGCTCCTTTTGTCCCAGCCTTCCAAGTTCTGGGATGACAGGTGTGCGCCACCCCCTCCCCCAACCCACCCCCATGGCTACCAACCATGCTTTAATAGGGTCAGGCGCAGGACTTTGCTTGTCCTCTGTCCCTTGTGGTGGTCTCTGACTAGGTCAAACACTGTTGGTTCAGAACGTATCACTTTTGGGGGAACTTGGCCTGCCAGGGCCCTGATGTGTGTTAAGTAGAGGACAGACCGTGCCCTGCTGCAGACAAACATGGAGGAGCAATCTGAATGAGTGCCGGAGGGTGATCTTTGTATGGAAAACCCCAGTGGGTTCCTTTCTGATGTAACCATTGTGGGTAGAACCCTCCTAGCCTGTAACAGAATCCAGGCTGAACGGAAGAGTGCACGTGGGGCGCTCTAAGTGATTTCGGGGTGGGAGATGGGAAGTTCCCGTCACCCCCGCATTGAGAGCCGCCCTCCAGTGTCACTGCCCAGAGCAGAAAGGCCTCATCTGTGGTGACCTCCACGCACCGGGTCCGGTGATGCGCCAGCACACTGTGTCCCTTGTGCACAGGGCATCTTGTCCCTGATACGAGGGAAGGTTAATTGATCTGGGCAGTGTTGGACACAGAGGCTCTCCCAGGTCCTGGAGACTCCAGCAGCCTGGACCTGGAGGTCCAGGGATCGGCCTTGTTAACAGCCCTATAACTAACCTGGCTGCGCCTGCTGCCTCTGGGGTGAGAAGCTATTTGGTCTTCACGCATGTGGAGCCCGAGTCCGCTCCTGAGCAGGTGCATACGCCGGTGCCAACAAGCACTGTGGCCTCAGTGCTGTTACCAAGTCCATTTTCACCCAGAACAAAGAAGTCGGCTTCCAAGCTGAGAGCCCATGAGAACGGCTCTTTCATTCCAGCATGCATTTTACATTTAAAAACGCTGGACCTGGCTCCCTTCTGAGCAGGCTCGCAGTGCACACGGTTCTGCCGCAGCCAGTGAGTGTGAGCTGTGTGTGCCTTCCTACCGAAAGGAAAGTCTGAACGTCCCAGGAGCCAGCCGTGGGGGCGTTGGAAGGAACAGCACTGTGTGGCTCTCTGGCCCTCTGCGAGTAAAGAAGCAGTCCACTCGAGAATTTGCTGGAGAGTCCACGTTTGATTATCTGTTTTCTGGGGGGTTTTATGTAGCATCCAGGAAGAACAGGATTTCTGTTGGAATTGTGTGTTTAAAAACATAACAATCTACCAGGGAGATGTGAGAATGATGGAGAGAGGTGTACGTGGAAGAAAGGATTTTTAAACCTTCCCTATGTTTTTCTTTCTCTTCAAACAAAGTATACTTATGATACTGAAGCTGTCCTTTTTAATTATCTTAAAAATGAGCATCCTTGGCATGGTGGGGCTCTGCCTAACGGGTGGTGGGGGCGCCCTCCTCTAAAATGTGTGTGTGTATTAATTTCTCACGCACAGCTTTGCAAGGCTGGTGGGAGTTGCTTATTCACCAGTGCTGGCCAGCAATGAAAGTAAAAGGCTGTGCTTGAATTCTGCATATTTATGTCCTAGTTTTTTGTTTCTGTCCGTTACTGGCAAATTTTGGCCCTGACATTTATTGTGAGCAAGTCTCCAGCTTTGTTACTTTCAATTGGACATCAGAGGATTGTTAGAGATCACAAGCCAAATAACAGATTCTCGAGTCTGGCATATTACTTTGCAGGGTATAAAATAGGACTTTTTTTCTTGGATGTATTTTGTCTTTCCAGAGTTTTCCCAGACCAGTTTCCAGATGACTTTGTAGTGAGCTGAGAAAGCATCTTGTCTGGAATGGGAAGTGATAGGACTGAATTTTCCTTACGGACAGGTTTTAATCTCAAGAATGCATTAGAATCCAGCTCACATACTGGCTGTGTAGAATGTGTCCTGTCTACAGAAGCACACAACCTGTCCACTTGTCCCTGCCTGCAGCTGCCTCTGTGCCTTGGCCACGCCAGAACCACAAGGCTTAGTGAATATTTACAAAGAGCCAGGCAGAGCCCCGTTCTTGTCCACCCAAACATTGGACTTGGTGATGCAAATGATTTTAAGCTTCTCTCCAGATGTTGGACAATATGTGAACACAGCTGGGTTATCTTTACCAAGATAGCTGGTAATTCTAGAGTCCTATTAGGAAATGTTTCCTGAGTATGGCTAAGAAGGTACAGGAGCAAGATGCCCTGGTAATAAGACAGCAAACGACAGGTGTCCCCTTCCACTGTGCAGTGATTCTGAGGCTGCAGTTACCTGTTGTGTTACGGGGCTGTTAACAAGGCCGATCCCTGGGCCTCCAGGTCCACCTGGCTGCTGGAGTTCAGGACCTGGGAGAGCCTCTGTGTCCAACACTGCTATGCAGTTCAGGCCGACCTTGGGCTTCCTTTGTAGCCCAGGCTGGTCTTGCACTGGCAATGATCCTCCTCCTGCCCCAGTCTCCCGAGTGCTGGGATTACAGGTGTGCGCCACGATGCCTGGCTCTCATGATGATTTTTGATGCACTGAGGGCCAAGCCTTTCCTAGCAGGTCTGGTCCTCTTGGTTAATTAGTACAGTACAGTTTCTTAATAGCTGCTGGAAGCTTGTATTCAAATTAGAAATTCCCATTCCCACGCACCCCCCCCCCACTGCATTAAAGCAGTGACTTTAGTATTTGCTATTGGTGCACGCTTGCTGTGTTTCAGGTTCTTCAGGAAACGGTTGCCATCCTCAACAGCTTCTGAGGATGTGAACTGTCTGTTTCTCAGGTGAATAAACTGGCCCCAGAGAGGGGACGCTCCTGCCTCAGGTCACAGAGGTTTCTTACAGATGCACAGCATCACTACCCGTGTACCCAAGTGAAGCCAGAGCTGAGTGGGTGAAGACCGATAAAGGGTGCCCCCCACGTCTGCACCCCTTAGCCAGCGTTTATAAGGCAGCTACTGAGCACCAGGCTTTGCGTTGGCTGGATGGTTTCAAAGTGTGTGCTGTCTTGATTTGCAGTTCTCTTAGTTTTAGGGGGCTTGGCACACAGTCTGGGGTCTCCTCCAGCACCTCCTGCCTCCCTCTGCTGTGCTGTCCCTAAAGTCATCCTTCCTCTACACTGGCTGCAAGTTCAAGGGGTCCTGAAACACTTCCTTAAGAAGCTGGTCCACTCCCGCTTACAGCTTATTACGGGGCAGCACAGGAATGGACCGGGGAGACATAAGTGTACGTGACAGAGTCAGGACAGCATGAAGGTTGCTTTCCTGTAGAAACCAGATGTGCTCCCCTCCCATCACACAGAAGTGTGACAGTGCTCTGGGGCCAAAAGGGACACTCCCCGGAGCCATGGCAGGGGGCGTGCTTCAAGCAGGTGTGATTTAAGGCCCATACAGCTGGCCTCAGCGGGCATCAGAGGATCCAAACTCCCCACCCCACATTACACCGGTCCACGGTCCCGGGGAAAGAACCCCACTCTGACCTGCAGGGATTCTGGGGCCTGCCCAGCACCGCAGGCGAAGGCGAAGGCTCTTTGGGTAAAGTTAAGTTCTTACTTCACGGCTTCACTGTCAGGATTTTCTGAATTCACTTGTGTTTGGACTTTTGCCCCTGCCTGGAAAGCGTCCTTAGTAATTTGTTTTGTTCCGGTGGTTCTATTAGCTCGGCAACATTTGCTGGCGAGTTTTTTCAGCAAACAATACTGTTAGCTTG